CCCTTAGCGTGGGGGATTGTGGATTCCGAAACTAACCGATCTTAGATGTGGTTTATGTCTAACTTGAAAGATCTTATAGGCGACTCAAATCAACTTGTATTTGTTTCGGACAGGAAAAGAAGTATCGAAAGAGCTATTACTCACTTATTTTCTTTGTCTGGTCATGGTTGTTGTATGTGGCATGTGGAGAAGAACCTAATTTAGCGGCACTTTAACGCAAGTTCAATATTCCTGTTCAAACGAGCTACTACAACTTATCGGGTGGAAGAATTTGAACGACTAATGGGACAAATTTGTAGGGTCAGTGAAAGAAGTTATAGGTATTTGGAGAAAGCCGATTTTTCATTCTGGTCACGAGCACTATTCGTGGGCGACCGATACAACATTATGACAAACAACAACGCAGAATCATTGAACTCAATGCTGAGACATGCTCGTTCGTTGCCAATCACCTGTTTGATCGAGCACATTCGTAAAACAATGTAGAAGTGGTTTTACGAATGTTGAACCAATGCAACCACATGCAGTACTATATTGTCGTCGAGGATGGAGAACGAGTTACAAACAACATTTGAAGCTGGTACTAGGCTTCGAGCCCATGAGTTGACAAACAGCTTGACCCAGGTTGGAATATCCAACGATACGGAGATACTGGACTTCTCCGAGAACACGTGTACATGTCGTGAGTTTCAACTAAATCGTATGCCATGTGCTCATGCAACTCGTGGTGCTATGGTAAGTCATTATACGATCTATGCTCTCCGTACTATACATCGGAATACTGAAGGGGTGCCTATATGGAAGTCATATATCCCGTTACACGGGAAATGGATTGGGTTGTTCCAAATGAAATCCTAGGCACTCATATTTTGCCACCGATTGTACGTGGTCCTCTAGGTAGACCACCGACGCGACGTAAGCGAGCTAGATACGAGTCCACTACCCAACTGAGGAAATGCACTCGATGTGGGAGACTTGGTCATAACCGGACCACATGTTCGAACCCTATTGTATCACAAGCCACTTGAACAAGCATGATGTGTAAAAGTGGTTGTGAAATGTAATCCCCGAAAAACGTAATTTAAATAAGCATTATACATTCCCAACTTATTTTATGAATCTGTTGTTATTATCGTATGCCAATACAAATTTGGTCGTTATGTTTCGCAAGCAAAGTACCGATCATTACAGTTCCATTATCACAAACGAGATAAATACCTTTTTCTTACTATAAACTTAGCCGATCATAGAAGTTTCATTAGCTTTGACTGACAGTTTGTCAAAATGGACAACTGATTTTCATGAGACCATAGTGAACAAACAAAACACCAACATTACGATCCGACAATTCATATGTCGTTACCGACAGATAGTCTATGTAATTCTCGACAGTTGGGAACAACAGCAACTTGAAAACCTACACTACTGCGGTTGCCTATTATGGAGATGCAGGTTCTATACGTATCCAGAGAACGTGACCAAAATCATCCATACCACAAAACACTAAACATAATTTCCTACAAAAGGGCCATTTATTGCACACTTGCACTGCTTTTGACAATTTAATAATCTCCCCCACTTTCCCCATCAAACTCGTCTGAGCTAATGACAATTACTTCTGGAGGTGGAACATGAGCCACCCACTCATTCGAGTTGGACGGTGACTCGACTGGACCCCTGACCTCGAAGACTTGATCGAGAACGCTATTCGATGACTTAGATTCTGCACTTGACACTTCATCGAACTCGACACCATGCTGTTCAACTCTTACATCCTCATCGTCTGACAATAAAACGATGGGAAATTCAGCGGATGAACCCAGTATCGGCGGATGCATATTGGAGTTGAATGTTTCATTGCTGGAGGTGGATGAACCTATTATCTCGTATCAACTACCTGTTTCAAAATGGAAGTCTCACAACAGCTTTCATGACATATGAAATGTAATTTGATAGACAATGCTTGTGATGCATTCAATATGTAAGTATAAATGTATTTCCAACTTGTTACTTGCAAAAAATGAGAAACTTATAATATCTACAATAACATGTTACACTAAGACATTTGTATTGGACAATCCCACCATTTTCAATTTTCGAAAAGCAAGGAACTTATAAAATTGAATGGCCCGCCTAGTTGAACTATCGGGCCCGGTAGATGTTTTATTCATTCTCGATAGTTGACGAAAACGTGCATTGCAGTAAAGATCGTATAATTTCAAATTTTGTAAACTGCAAAATAAATGAAGAAGAATAAATAGAAGTAGCTCTTTTTTACCACAATGTTGTTCAACTACGTTGAAAGTGTCACAATGCATTTTAGGTAAGTTCAAAGTGGCACAATACCTTGGCTACAAAATTGCTTGTAAGCAACAATGATCTCCTGGTATTTATAATCATCCTGAAAGGAGGAAGTAATTACTTCATTATCTACCCAACCACCAAATCCAATCTCTAAGTAAATTTGAAAAGCAATTGGTGTGATGGTTGAATATAATAAGTGTACCTTTATCCCCCATTGTACCATAATTACTATGACATTGGCGGAGACTAGAATACTTCAATGATGTGTAAAATTCATGTTATCTGGTTTCTTGCAACAAATTACTTCTCATTTGTCAGCTTGTTAGTTGCACCATGGTTGTAATGCTACAATTTCCCACAAAATAGACTCATTATGTTAACCCACATAAGAACATATGAAGGACAAGGGAATATACATAAACTCATTTGTCAATTAGTTGTACCATGGAAGTCATGACTTTGACACTTTTAATGGATCCTCATCTTAATCCGATATATAGTTTACTAAGGCACTACGACATTCAATCCCGCTATCTACTCGTAAATGGATATTCGTAAAACGTACACATACATAATTTTTTGCGCAATACAATGTACGAGCGTTGACAAAAATTGAATCAAGGCACGAAGTACCGTAAGTACGATTCACATAACATACTAAAGCCGGATAACTTATACAAGTTGTAACACTACAACAATTTCAGCAAAGGTAAACGGTGACACGGCATTCACCACGGGAATTGCAAAATGTGAGGAATGCGTCTAAGTGTCACCATGCTTGCCAACTAGCCTGACTGATATGTAAATTACAAAAATGAATGAAAAAGGCACCAATATCCAGCCAATTAACAAACATCCTTCACCACCTAAATTACGTCAAAAAAATGCAAAAGCATGCTGAACCCCATCGTCATGCTATGTTCGGCAATTTATCCACAGTTACTTCTGTTTTTGCTTTGCGCTCCCCCTCATGTACGGAGTCCTGATAGTAGGTGCCAGACGTCGCAGTCGTGTCGATCACCCTCTTTGTCGTAACTTCCCGTCCTAGTCAGGCTACATTGGCGGGAACTGGAAAAGTTGCAACGTAAGCAAATGAAACGAAAAATAAATTCAATTGTCAAAAAATGATGCAATACCTTGCACTTCATCCGTTGCAGCGAGCACTAGCATGGGGTCATTGTCGGGACATGGCTCAATGTGTACTGTGTCTGTCGAAAACAATAATGAAATATTTTTAGTGTATAACTACCTCTAGGAATTTTCAAATTATGCCAAGTACATGAAACAACAATCTACAAGTTTTCCTCATAAATGACCCACATACCTTGCAGATGTTTGGTTCCAGTAGGTAGCATGTCCTGCTCTTCGTCATGGTCGCCAGGCGATGGGTGGTGGCCCCCTTCGACTACAACAAATAAACAATTGTAAAGTAATCGAATGCCTGAAATAATATTTGTTCAAATCATGAAAAACAATGCAATACGTTGCACTTCTTCGATTGTAGAGGGCTCTAGCATGGGGTGATCTTCCGGGCACGGCTGAATGTGTGTTATGTCTGTTCAGAACAACAACGAAACAGCGAATGGAAAGTGAATTTTAACAATTTTCAAAACTTCCGAAACACATGAAATGATAATTAATCAATTTGCTCAAAAGTAACTGACGTACCTTGCAGACTTTCAGTTCCAGTGGGCAGTGGCATGTCCTGCTCATCCAGGCATGGCTCCATGTGTTCTTCATTAATACACATACCGTCCCCCTCTTGCCTGTCAATCCCCATGTCTTCGTCAATACCGTCAAGCGACGGGTGGTGGCCTACAAAGCCTCCGTAGTCTAAAATGAATGAACAATTATCATACAGAACATGTCAGTGACCAAGGTTAAAGTGAACATTGTCATAAAAAATTGTAGTACGCATATGGTGAAGTACCTGATTGTTTGGGCTCGGGGTCCACATCAGTCACACATGCAGTGGTTGTAGAGTCGGATGCTGGGACGATGGTGGATATGAAGTCCTTCAATTTTTTAAATTCATCGGACACGTACTGCATGATTTCGAGCTTCACAGTGCAGAGCCGCATTTCGAACAGAATTCTTTGATCCAGCAACATGCCCTGAACATCGTCTGTTGTGAGGCTTGATCCAGCTGTTGCAGTTGGTCGGACATGAGAGGTGGACGGTGCCTGTATGGGAGAAGTAGCTCTACGTACGTGGGGGGTGGAAAAAGTCCCCGTCTATCCACTTCGTCGAACTCGATCACCGTCACTATCCCCACTGTCGTGCTCCTCCGAGTCCTCACCTTTAGCCTCTCTGCTCTCATCGGCTCCTGACTCCTCCTCCTCGCCACTGGTCCCCCCACCGTCATGGGCCTCATCAGAAGTCTCATCCTCGGAGGTGCCTTCTTTGGGTGTGCCTATACGCTCTGCTTGGAACTGCGAAGCAACACTGTCCCTGGCAAGGTCATCCAACGAAGGGATAGGATGATCATTGAACAGCACAAGAGTTGCGATATGAGGTTACCCACGCTCGATTTCGGTGGGACTCAGCATCGCGTACACATATAGCTACAACATAAACATATTCGTTACGAAATCACCACATGCTACAATGACGAATGGAAGGAATGAGAACGTAGAAGTAACATAAATTTTTACCTGTACATTCTTGAAGAAAGTGTCGTACGTACGCTGCTGCGGCTATTTTGTTGATGCCGAGCCGAGAAGCCATGGGAAACGTTCACCAAGACGCTGATCGAAGCGATCACCAATTTCAGGCACCGCCACGAACGCCCATATCTGTTATAGTAAAAAATGAATGTGAGTTCACAACGAAACCAACCACGAAATACTTTTGCATTGAAATAATGAGTAGGTAAAATAAAAATACCTGTATGGCAATGGGAAAGCCGTGGACCGTGTAGCTAACCGCCTTCTCCTTCTTTTTCGTCGCATCCAAAAAATTTCTTGCCCAACGGCCCCGAAAGCCCTTTATCAGACGTCCATATGAGATTCTACCCCAAGGATACGAAAAGAACAAGTCTAGATCGCTGACGATCAACAACGTCTCCATATCGATACCAACGTTGTTATCCGGAGCATTGAAGACTCCTTCGATGATCAAAGCGAGGTCGAGCTTGTACCAATCGGCTCGAGGCATTGACGATCGAAGAAATGTCTGCTCGAGTTGGGCGCACGAAATCTTGTCCACATGTTTAAAGTATTTGTCCTTTAGTCTTCTCTTGTCAAGAACTCGGTCCATGACATTGTCATCCGGAAGAAGACCACACCTTAATCCAGTGACGAGGGCGTACTCTTGAATTCCGAACCTGGCGAGGTGGCCTTGCAAATTGAACCACAGTTCGTGCCGCTTATTTGTTTGTATGCAGCAGAATACGAGTTGTTGGATTAATTGGGCAAAGAACTGGAGATCCGAAACCTCGGACAAGAACCCAAGGCATGAGTTGCGAAAGTCTGCCCGCTGTCACTCATCAAAATGTTCGACGACTGTTTTTATATATCGCAGATTGCTTTTCTGCGATACATGGCCTCGCAAGCGTGCATTCTCTGGAACAAGAGGCTCGAAATCCATGTCTACAAAGACAAAATAAGAAATAAATGCGTCAGACCAGAATATAAACTTCCTACCAGCATAGGACCAAAAACCACAAGTATGTTGTGAAGTGCCTTTCAACAGTTCCTCCCGAATGCAATGAGTGCCACCCACAAGCTCAATGCGTGCAAGTGAAAGCAATGTTATGACACAAGTAACATAAATGTTGAAACGGAAGATATGCCCACATCAAACATGATTTCCACCAAATGCATATGAGTACCAACCATATTACTTCAATAAAATAGCCCTAATTCAGCCCACTGAACTTCAGAAGTTGTTGCATGCAAAAAATAAAAGGAATATTGATATCTGAACGCATATTACATAGAAATAACATTTTCTACTGGTAGGGCAGGGCTAGGCAGGCAGGAATTGAACTGTCGGTCCCGACATTTTATCCATCGACGGTTCATCTGTTGAGAATTACTGAGGCTAACTGTCGGGAACGACAGTTGAGCAACAACTATCGATAGATGAACTGTCGGGAAATCTAGTTTTTCTCTTCTTACAAGTATTATTCAAAAGTTTTTCACTCAATATTCGAGCACAACGACACATGAAATCCACAAGGATGCTGTCAAGTGTCTATCGACAGTTCCAACCGAATGTAGCGAGTACCACCCACAACGGATGGATTGCAAGTGAAAGCAAGGTTTTCTCGACATTACACAAGTAACATAAACATTTGAACCGAAGATATGAGTGTCAATCAAGATTTCTACCAAATGCATTCGAGTACCACGCATATAACTTCAAGTCACGGTTTAAGAATGTACTTTTGTGAAATTGAAATGAGAACTGAACTTCAATTTTTCATCTCAAAATTTTCAATTTCTTCACATCATTTTTGTAAACGTCCGTAAAATTCCTTTATTTCGAAATAAATAAGTTCATTCCGCACAAATCACATGTCCAAAAACACAAATTGAGCAAATAAATACAACATATGGATTGTAAGTGAAATCAAGGTTATTTTCACATCAGATAATCAACAAAAACCAATGCAACTAGAATCTCCACATTATGTGTACAGTTAAAAAAGTTTAACAACCTTGATTTACTTGGTGAACGGACTTCTCAACCTATATTTCTTGTGGATTAGCTTCCTCAATTTCTTCATATTAATACTTGAGAATTCTGTTCTATTGTTCAAATAGTGTCATGCTAAGAGATTAATTTATATATATCAAATCAATAAGTTGGTACTTTTTTTTCAAATAATGAAATATCAACACTAATTAAAGATGACTTCAACTAACAAAATTACCCTACCAGCTGCTATTGCATGAGCAAACAATGTAATAAAATGATAAGTCAGTACATTAATGTAGGTGAACTGGTTATGTCATCATATAATTATAATTAAGAAGACTTGGAAATTACAAAAAGTTACAAGTTTTAACCACAAACAATGCATGGCTGTTATCATTTTCAGAGTGGAAGAAAGTGCTATTCTAAAAATATTGAATATAATGATGTTATTTATAGAACAGATTTCAATCATCCTTGTCTTTACACTTTGCAAAGTTGTTCTCAATCATTTTTACTAAATAAAATAAAATGATTACTCAAACTCCATAATGAGAAAGAGTCAAATTCGAAACAACAAGGTTGAAGCCGCAACAATAGTACTAATGTCTGTTTACTTCAATGAAGTAGACTAAGCATAAACACAATCAACAAATTGTTATATGTGTTTACCAATGAGGGATGAAGAGGAACGTGTCGTCATTCCTTAGCTAAACTAGAGAAATGTCAAGTTAAAAACTAAAGAATATATATCTTGCATAAAGAATGCCAGTAATTAGCTATAGAATTTCAAGAATCATCTTCGGTCCAATTTATAATGATCAAGAAATGAAAATACATTTTTACATCCACAGAAAATGTAATAAATGCCACAGTAACATTTAAATCATTCAAAGGAGATACAAAGTATGACAAAATCATTATGCTAATGAGCAGTGATCAATGTAAGCTTCACACTTCATTTTGCAATAAATTGCCAAGAAAAAATAGAAAACAAATTTTGTAGCCAACAATTAAAAATAAACCGAAGTTCATCATATGCTGTCGTCGCATTCAGAACTAATATCAGAAATCAAGAAAAACATTCGAATCGAATGACCTATGTTTTTCATAGAGATTTTCACTTCAAATCACTAATTAATTTGGAGTGCAAAGACACTAAGGGGAAGTAATCTTTATTTTGAATGGACTTCAAAATAATTCTCAAATGTAGCATTCAAGAAAGAACCAAAGTAGGAAATGAAAAATTAAGAAAATAGACATTAATTCACATGTGTAAAAGATTTTTATGATTACTTACAAAATCAACTATTTGATAATAGCTCTTGTAAAGATCAGATCCCAAGTCCTCAAGCACCAAACCATCTTCTTTTTCTTTATTTATAAAGATTCTAATTTTGTAGCCAACAATTAAAAATAAACAGAAGTTCATCATATGTTGTCGTCGCATTCGGAACTAATATCAAAAAATCGAGAAAAACATTCGAATTGAATGACCTATGTTTTTCATATAGATTTCCACTTCAAATAACTAATTAATTTGGAGTGCAAAGACACTAAGGGGAAGTAATCTTTAATTTGAATGGATTTCAAAACAATTCTCGAATGCAGTGTTCAAGAAAGAACCAAAATAGGAAATGAAAAATTAAGAAAATAGACATTAATTCACAGGTGTAAAAGATTTTTATGATTACTTACAAATTCAACTATTAATCAACTATTTGATAATAGCTCTTCTAAAAGATTAGATCCCAAGTCCTCAACCACCAAAACATCTTCTTTTTCTTTATTTATAAAGATTCTGATTTCTGAAATTATTTCTAGTCAAGCCCAATTTTTACAATTTTTTAGTGACAAGAAGATTGCATAATGTAGTGAAAATATGCTAGATTTAAGGGGGAGAACCAGAACCTCCTGCTTTAATTTCCCCAACAGACACTTTTCCAACCCAAAGCTAGCATTTCTTAATTCAAACTCCCAAACAAACACAAACAAAAAGCTTATTCACTTTCCAAAATATGGCATGCAGAAGTAAATCACAGCATGCTAGCCCAAGTTTCAAGAAAGTACAGAGAACGTTTTTGGAATCGAATGATTACCTATTTCTTCTTTTAAATCGACGATTTCCTTCAATTCTCAACGTGGGTTTTCGATGCCTCTTGGGGTGGGTTCTGGGCCTTTTTTTCTCTATAGCAATCCTGTAAATCATAAAGCTCTTGGTGGTTTAGAAATTAAAAATGCAGAAGAAAAAAAAAACCAAAACTTAGGTTTTTAACCTTGCAAATCGTCGGCAGTGGACATTTTCACTTTTTTTGGATGAAAGTCGATAGCTCAGCTTCAAACAATTCGATAGAAAGAGGGGAGGGAATTGAAATTAAACGTCACTCTTTCACAGGGCCAGCCTTGAAAATTTTGAGGTCCTAGGCGACTAATTAATAGGAGGCCCTTAAACATAATTCACCTAGCTAATATGAGGTCTTTGAACGTAAATTATTATTATTATCCACAAGAAGAGCACTACTTAAGAAAAGGGAGAGAAAATATGTCACAAGAGCAAGTTGAGACCGCTTGTCGACAGTTGAAAAAGAACCTTTCATGAAATATCGATTTTTACTACAATTGTGATATCTATACCAGCTAGGCTCAGTTACTTACAAGATCAAAATCCCAATAGGACGCCTATTACAATTATATTAAGGTATGTCTTTAGTCCAGTTTCTCCAAACTCCAAAGACTAGTCAATTCAAGGTTGGAAGAATTATCTTTTTCCAATTGTTTTAATGTGTTTTGGCACTTCAATCCACCACTTGTTGATCCCTAGGAATTCTAGCAATGATATTTCGAAGTTTTATACAAGCCATCATATACAACTAAGGCTAGTGAGGATGGAGAATGTTCTAAACGAAAGGCAAAAAATGAAAATCTCTTAAGTTCATTAATACAGCACTAATATATTCATTACACGGAACTGAAGATTTAATAGGTGCCACTAGCACTCAACAGAGACAAAAACAGAGTAATAAAACCAAAATATAACAAAGAAGAAACTTAAGATTCTAATTTGCACTCTTTATACAACATACATTTTATTGAATTTAAAGCAGTAGAGATTCTCATTTGCATATTCTTTCTCCTACTAACTTGAATTGAAGATGATTAGTATTATGATTAGCTCTAGCTAAGCACAAAAACCATCAAGAATCAAAGAAAATGAGATAACACTAGAGAAGGACAATTGAAATTATCAGAAGAAATAGAGTGGCTTGTAAGAGTCACTTTAAACAACTATACCCACGACTCTTATGTAAGGTTCAATGAATAGAAGTTTCTATTCCTACATTCCACCCCCCAACAAAAAAAAATGAAAAGAAAAGAAAGAAAGAAAGAAAAAAAAAAAAAAAAAGCAATCTCAAAATGGTCAATTCGCTTGCAAACCTAACCAATTAGCATCTTTTGCAATAATTAACCACAGCAAAGAAGGATAGTTTAGCACAAAAATGTAAAAAATTAGAAGACAAAGATGACAGGTTCCCACAAATAACAAGTGCAAAAACCATGGTCAAGTATTCCTTAATCCCACAGCAAAATTCTCTGACTCCGTCAATGCATTTCAAATCTCTAATGAACACAATGCATTTTAAATTAACAAATCAATCATACCTCCATCCACCTACCTAAAATGCCTTTTGCTCACTTCTTGCTCTTTTTCCCTTTATTAAATGCCAATTAGCATATTAATATTTTTAGCACTAGCAGAAACCTATAATTTGTGTAAATCAAAAGAAAAAATGAGCAATTTTCAGGAAAATTTATTATTTTTAAATGGATAGACCCTAGAAATTCAAGTACCCAAATAGAAAATAAAGGGAACATCTATTTGGATTTATTGACGGCACAAATCAGTATCCTAAGCAAACTATTGAAGAAAATGGAAAAGTAACAGACATTCTCTTCTTCTTTTTTCCTTCTTTAACAACCTCTTTTCTTTCGTCTTGACATCCTCCAGTGGCAGGTGTGGTGGCGGCGGCGGTGGTCTCTTCCTTCTTGGAACTCTCCAATGGCTGCGGTGGTTGGCAAAACTGGGGAGTATAAATCAACGCTTCTCTCCCTCTATTTCTAACTAAAACCCATAGGTTTGTTTAAGCATTAGGCGGATTGTGACTGATATGGCCAAATTTTTCTCACGACGCCCCAAAAAAATTGAGGCCCTAGGCGATGGCCTTGTTGGCCTTATGACAGGGCCGGCCCTGCTCTTTCACCACAGACGACGGCACGGGATTGTTGTAGTTTTGTGGACTTCGTCGGCGCTGGACAATAGAAAGGCGGTCGGCGACGACGCTATGGATTTGAAATCAGAGAAACGAGATACACAGTGAGAGAGTTAGGGAGTTAGGGTTAACGGGAGAAGATTAACCCTTAAGGGGAATGATAGATATTTTTCTTCTTTAGGAAACGTGTTCTTGGGTTTTGGTAGGTATTTTTTATTCTTCAGCCTAAATTAGATTGTACAATCTCTTCACTAATCAATTCTCATTTAATTGGGACCTATAGGGCATTTCAAATTACCTAAAGGGGCAAATATGTCAAAAAATAACATTTTTGTAATGTAAAAAAAAGAAGTGACATTTTTGTAAATGTGTTGGAAAAATTTGACATCCTCTGTAATTTCCACATTCTGTTATCTGTCTTGGTGCATCAAGAAAACTTCTCATTGCAGGTGAAGTAATAGTCTCCCCTTCTTTCAGTTATACTTTGAGATAAAAATTAGCTTTGACAAGGAGTTTTCGGGTTAGAGGTATAATATCAGGTGTTTTTCTCCTGGTATTCATTATCGTTGGATTGTACTGCATCACCGAACTGATGAAAAGAAAGAACAGTAAAGTATAGAACAATATTAGTGGATTACAAGGTTCATAGTCCAAGATTTTCTTGTATAGATATTAAGAAAATTACAAATAACCTTTAGGAAATGCTTGTCCAAAGAGGTTATCCAGTGGTAAACAAGATTCTTTCTGTAGAGTTGTGATTCAAATGGATCGAGTAGTAAACATGCCTGTCACGTTCTCCCTCGACGAAATCAACTGACTTTTTCTGCAGTGAACTTGAAAATATATCTCAAACAATGGATTTTACTATTTATTTTCTTGCCTGTTTAGATTATCTTTTCTTCTATTCAATGAGAATACAAAACTTTGTTGCGACCATTCATTTTTCGAAGTAATATCTTTCTGTATATTAACATTGTTGCAAAAACTAATATGCACCATATATTTATGTAATATTTTCTAAGAAAACCTCAACGTCCTCAAAGACGTGTTCCAAGATTGAATAAGCTTTAATAAATCAGTTACTCTGGTAAGTTTCTACATTGTATTCACATTCCAACTGATACAATTATTAGTACTGCGAAAAGACTAAAGAGAAACACTTATTCCATGATCTTCCACTATCTCACGTGGAGCCACGAAAGGCTTTGGTGGCATCTGCAATTCGGAATCGCCTTCAAACATCTCAACAACTTTGTTCATTGCAGGACGATCAGAAGGCTTCATTTGTATACACCATAAAGCTACTAAAATCATCTTCTTTACCATCTTCTTTTCCTTCTCCATGGCGTCTTTTATTTCTATGTCCTTTCCGGTATTAAGTTGCTCATAAACCCACGAAGGGAAGTAAATTTGGCTTACGCTATCAGCAAAGGGGTTCATATTTTTCCTTCTACCTGCCATTTCCATCAACAACATTCCATAACTATAAACATCAGCTTTGTAAGAGATTCCTCCAATATTTTTGTAGAACATCTCTGGCGCCATGTAACCCATTGTCCCTCTTGCTGCAGTCAGTGGTACAATACTGTCATCAGTTGGGTACAATTTTGCAAGGCCAAAGTCCGAAATTTTTGGGTTGAAATTCTCGTCTAAAAGAATATTGTGAGGCTTGATATCGAAATGCAGAATTTGCATTTCACAACCCCGATGTAGATAGTCGATTCCACTAGCCACTCCAAGAGAAATCTCAAACATCTTTTCATAGCTCAAAGAGAGAGCCCTACCTTTTTGAGGACAAATATATTTATCAAGAGACCCTTTAGGCATGAATTCATATACTAAAGCACATTTTGATCCTTCCACGCAGAAACCAATGAGTTGCACCACATTTACATGGTGAATCCGTCCAATTGTGCCAACTTCACTGATAAATTCTTGGTCATTAGCCATAGATTTTCCCATTAACTTCTTAACTGCAACATAAGGACCACTTCGAAGCTTTCCCTTGAACACTGTTCCGTAGGCCCCTTCACCCAATTTGTCCTTGAAGTTGTTTGTCATTTTCTTGATCTCAGAGTAACTGTATTTTATTGGCATCAGGTTATTCTGACTTTGTAAAAAGTCTTCAATTGACTCATCGATTGATAAATGCCGTCTTCCCCATTTATGCACCATTAGTCCAACCAGGAAAGTAAATCCACATAAAAATCTCAGACCTACGATAGCAGCTGCATGAAAAAGAAAAGGAATTATGTTTAAATATCCACTATCCAGATTTCATTTTTAACTGTTGAGCATGAGAATTTATAAACACTCCATTTGTATACACAAATTGTCCGTGTGCCTGTTGTGTAAAAATAAGATGATGGAGTCTCCCTTGTGCATTGCCAGAGGTTGACAAAACAAGAGAAATTTATGCTTAACTATAGAATGAATTCTTAAGAAAATATGGAAACATTTTTTTTCCAGGATGGACCTAACATTCCTATTTGTTATCTGAAAACATAGGTACGGGATTTGAATCTTACCAATTATAATTGCACCAAAAAATCCAATAAAGGCTGTCAAAATAGCAAAACAGAAGAAAAAATGATTTTAGAGGATAAAAATATATGTAAAAATGTTACGGGAAGGCTTACTAATATTAAAAAGCCAGAGTCAAGTATAATCACTCACTCCCATAGTACTGAAACCGACCTGCATGGTGCAAAGTACAAGAAGGGTAAGAAAACTAAAAATCTTCACAGCAGAATAACTTCTAACAAGTAGAAATTGAAAAGCCCAAAAGACAAACAAGTAATCAAGTGATATTTTGAAGATTTAAAAGGCTTGAGGAAATTGGGTTATATGCAAGTCATAATGAATTTTGAGTTTCAGAAATTTTCAGATAAACAATACCAGTTAGTTCCATTCATAATTTGATCATTATATGTTAACCTTTTACTTTATTCTATTTTCAAGAAAATGCTCTTAATCAAGCAAAATATGAATCTTTCTACAGTTTCATGTAATGTATGTCATAAATGACCTCACATAAAAGAAAGCAATAAGAACATATGTTTCTTAATTATATGATTATGAACCATTGGACCAAATGTTAAGCCACGCTTACAATCTGAACTAGTGAAGAAACATAATCATTGATTGTTTATAGAATTGCTCCACATTCAATATAATAAATTAATGAAACATATCATAATAGGTCTGATGGAGGATAATTCTTCACAGAGAATATGGTCAATACAGGAAAAAAAATAGTGATAAAATGTTCAAGATCAAGAAGAATATTTACTCACATCCAAACCCAAGTTCTGATAGTGGAATATCCTCGCTGCAGTAGTGTTTGCAACTGATTTGATTGCCTTCTAAACTGCAAAAGCCATTGCTCTTCTCACATTCATCACAAAGAACACGGAACCACGAAAGCTCAAACCCGTAGGCCAAGCCATCATAAATGCCCATCAAAGAAGAATTATCTCTCATAATCCTATGCGATGAGGCCGGAAACACCCTGTCAACAGTGCAGGAATCCTCCAAATCCGATAGACGAGTATAACCTCCCACTATAACATAACTATAACTTTCTGAAGAGTTGGAGAAAGTGTTACTCCTATTACCACAGAAGGCAGATTTTACATAGATTGAAGAATTTGTAGGAGCTAGACAGTTAATAAAGACGATTGGGATGTTCCAGGATAAAACTTATCAAAAATGGTGCTAGGCCAATCATCATAGTCCGGAGAATAAATTGGACATGAAGAAAGATTGCCCTTTTCTATGCCAGGATCAACTAAGCGTATCGAGAAGTCGCTGTAATCAATTGCTTCGACATGGTATTTTGCAGATTTCAGGTTCAATATGGTTTTATTGTTCTGGCATTCAAGCTCAAAATTGGAGTTGGGATAGCCACAATTCTTTGGGTCACCTTTCAACCGGAAAGGGTAGCTTATGTTTCTTATATGCCCACAAGAGGAGGAGCAAAGTGAAATGAGATTGTTCAGGGCTTTGCAGGTGGTCGTACACAAAAGGAGAATCGATATTTTCGAAATAAGAAACCAAATTCTTGTATTTGACATGCTTAGAGTAATCTTTTAGGATTATGGTCGTAGATTAAACCCTTCAGTCCTCTCGAATTCTTGCAAGTATTTCTCAACTGTTGCTTTCTTGCAGCATTTTCTTCTTATTTATCTACACACACCAAATTGAACAAGCACATATTGCGAACAACTTAAATCACATATTGAAAAAGAATTATAGAATTATTAGTTAAATATGCCAAAATTCCAATTTAGAGACAGTTTTTCCCTATGAGACAGTAATTGTAATTTGATGATTCTTTGGAAACTTGAAAGGTAAATGAAGTTACCTGAAATTTACTGTTCGAGAAGAAAGGGCTACCAGCGGAAAGTTTCTTGAATTTCCGGTGATCAAGTCTCCAGCAAGGAGCTGAATTTGGCAAGAAAGAGATAAGATATAACCATTTCTTCTTTCTAAGATGCTTCTCATTGATTTGATTTGATTTTCTTGGTTGAATGGCTGTTCAGTCTCAAGTGGGATGAGACAAGGTCAACCATCTTAATAGTTCTAAGAGCATGTTTGGCTAAGCTTAAATAAAGTGAAAGTTACAAAAGTAATTATTTTGTTTCCAAATATGTCTTGATTGAAAACGAATATAACTTTTTTCATAGTTTTAACTTTTAAGTAAATAAATTACTTTCTTACCTTCCTCTTGAAAAAAAGTAACCTAATAGGTTTATGTCTTTTGATTAATAAAAGAATTACTTATTTTGCAACCTGTAAACTCACAAGGAAACTACTTCATAAGCTTAGCCAAACATGTTCTTAGCCCTAACATGTGACGTAGGGACAGTACAGGCTGTAGACTAGAGTGGCGGTGTGAAAATGCATACTTGTAAGACCAACTAGATCATAATTTTTCAAAGTCAAATTTCGTTGATAAGAAAGTAGATTGAAATATCTATAATCTAATGAATAAAATCAATCCAACTTGTAAAGAATAGATCTAATACCAGTGGATGAAAGAAAGCAAAACAGCTTGTTCTTTGTTTTTAGAAATTTGTAAGGAAAAAAGAAGATTTATTTATCAGAGATTTCAGCTGATAAATTTGTAAGATAATGATTTTCTTGTTCTATTCAGTATATTTCTTGCAAACAATACTTGTTGCAGCTCAAGATATTTGCCTGCCAACAAGGTGCTTTGATTCCGGCCCTGTTATCCGATTCCCTTTTTGCATAAAAGGCCGACAACCTGAACACTGTGGCTATCCGGGCTTCGATCTTTCTTGCAATCCCATCAACAACATCACGGAGTTTGAGTTCCAATTTCCGGTTAAGGCCTCGACAAACAAAATTGTGATTCCATTATCAGCCAAAGCGTCTGTTCAGGAAATCGATTACAAACTTCAAGTTATACATGTTTCGGTCCTCAATGGATCATGTCTACCGAAACAAGTTCCTGCTTTCGGCTCCCCAGCCTCTGCTTTTGAAATGTTTTATCGGTATAATGTGGAAGCTAGTGGCTATACTCTTTTCAATTGTTCTGCAAAACCAGAGGCTAATTCCTATTCCGGCCCGATCACTTGCCTTGGCAGCTCAAAGTATCAAGTCTATGCCTTCCAATCATTTTATTCGGTTTCAGAATTTTCTCTGTCTAGTTGTGTGAAGATGTACAACATTTCAGATGTCTCGGTAGTAATTTTTCTGGGGCTGCCTGACTATTATACTGATGATACTCAACTGCATTGGTCGACACCATTTTGCGGAAATTGTGAATCAGCGGGAAAACAATGTTGGTTCAAGAACAATGGAACGAATAACGAAACTGAATGTTTTAAGATCCCAAAACAGTTTGAAAATGGCAATGGTACCAGGACTTCTGTCTTCTATATATTTCTGCACTGCAGATTGGGCCTTTCTGCTCTACCATTTATTCCACTACGTATCAAGAATTGCTTTCTTGATTTTGTGGGAATTTAATTGATCCGATAGGCTAAAAAAGTCCATTGTTTTCTCTTGCAGGTGCCTCAAAAAAGAGGGTTATTTTAGGTGTATCGATTGGTTTGTTTTCGTTCGTACTAGTTGTCGTTGCACTGTATGGCTTCTATAGGGTAAAGAAAAGAAATGAGAGAAAGGATTGAACAATTTTTAGAGGATTCTAAAGCTCTTAGGCCTGCTAGATACTCTTATGCTGATATCAAGAAAATCACGAACGGATTTAGGTCCAAACTAGGCAAAGGAGGTTACGGGACAGTGTTCAAAGGGAAGCTCTCGAATGACATTCTTGTAGCTGTAAAGGTTTTGAATAACATCAAAGGAAATGGTGATGAATTTATCAATGAAGTGAGTACAATAGGAAAAATCCACCACGTGAATGTGGTTCGTCTGGTGGGATATTGTGCAGATGGATATAGACGCGCTCTTGTTTACGAATTCTTACCTAATGATTCTCTCAATAAGTTCATATCTTCCGGGAATCAAAGTCACACGCTCGGATGGGAGAAGTTGCACAAAATTGCTCTCGGAATAGCCAAAGGAATCGACTATCTTCACCAAGGCTGCAACCAGAGGATCCTCCATTTCGATATCAAACCTCATAACATCTTGCTAGACCATAACCTCAGTCCCAAAGTCGCTGATTTTGGTTTAGCGAAAATGTGTTCCAAGGACCAAAGCGTAGTAACCATGACTGCTGCCCGCAGGACAATAGGCTACATTGCACCGGAGGTCTTCTCTAGGAACTTTGGGAAAGTGTCCTATAAATCGGACATTTACAGTTTCGGAATGTTGTTACTCGACCTCGTCGGAGGAAGGAAGAACTTCCATGCCAGAGCAACTGACAGTAGTCAAGTTTATTTTCCAGAATGGATGTACAATCAACTAGATAAAGGTGAAGATATAGAAATCCAAATTGAGAGAGAGGAGGATACGAAAATAGCAAAAAGACTAATAATCGTCGGGCTATGGTGTATCCAGTGGTATCCAGCTGATCGACCTTCAATGAAGGTCGTGATTCAAATGCTCGACGGCGAAAACATGCCAGTCATGCCACCAAATCCTTTTGCTGCATCAGAATCTGCAAACATAAACACAACAGCTACAAGTGGAAGCCTATTTAGTGGTGACTTAGATAGCATTTCTGAAACAAATGGGAGCAATAATTTAGTGTCTTCTTGAATTGTAAATTGTATGACAGTATTTGATACTATGTTGTCTCTTAACCGTGGATGTTCTGTTCATGAATTCACTACATTGGAGTTGTGTATTCAATATATTACAATGTATGATCTTCTTATAATTACTGACTATTGATAATTTGAAGTTTCTCTACAACAAGATGTAGAAATTTTTGGAGAAAATTTTTTTCAATACAACACGACGGGCGAGGATTTTAACTATGTTCAAGTCGGGGCTTCACAGGTCGATCAGAGGTTTTTTGAATTCCATAATCCCTGTATTTGTATATGATTCAATTGGTTAAATTAGTTTCTACAATGTAACATATGTCAATTTAACAACGGGTTCCAATTTTACCTCAAAAAAAATACGGCACGGGATTATACCAATTCGAGGGAAAACTTTTGAGAGTTAATAGCTACCAACTCTTTGGAGAGATTTAGACGGTTCAAAACATACAAATTGGTGTGTTAATATTTTGAAGAAATTTGTTAATTATATATTTTTGGATCACTCTAATTCTTTAATTTTGGGATAATTGCAACAGAATCTCCAAATTTTTTAAACAGTAGCTGACTTTTTTCTAACATTTTATTTGTTGCAACAGTCATCCCAAACATTTTAAAACGTTGCATCTGAAGTTCTTTTTGGATGAAATCCGTCCAATTTACCACCTAAAAAAAGTGATTTTGACCCAAAAAATTAATTTTACCACAATTTACTCAATTTTAAAAGGGCATGGTGGTGTTGGCGCCGCCACGTTGGGGCTGATGGTTGTGGCTTATAATAGTGGTGCCGTGTGTCACAAGTGTAATAGACGGCGATGGAAGTGTAATACGAGTTACAGGTTGGAATTCCACCAAATTCAACACTCAAAGAAAAAGGAACCTTGAATTTTCCAAAATTGCTAAATACGAAATTTCACCAAATTGAAAGAAGAAGAAAAAAATTGAGTAGCAGAAACTTCAATTGCAACTAAGTTTGAAGTTCAAAATAGACCCCGATAGTTCATCCTTACACAAAAAAATTCACACCAACGATCTGCACAGAAAAACGTAGAGAGAGAAAATGAAAGTGAAAAAAAGGGAATCTTGAATTTTTGTACGAGTTGATGATGAATTTTGACTTCTTTTGAGTGTTTGATATTTTGTACTTCTAGGTTTTTGTTTCAAAGCGCAACTGGTTTCCAGTTTTTCATATTTTCGATTTCGAAATGGGAAAAATCAATTGTAACTCCTTGTGTACGTGTGCTTCTCATCTCAAGTTAGGGTTTCGGTGTTAGAAATGTGGGGGTAGTTGGGGAAGAAGAAGATAGTTTTTCCATTTTTATTTGTTTTTGATTAATTTATGGAGAAAATATTAAATTACTATTTTGCACTTTTAAAATTGAATAAATTGTGGTCAAAATTAATTTTATGGGTCAAAATCATTTTTTTAGGTCAATTAATGGTAAATTAGACGGATTCCATCCAAAAGGGTTTCAGATACAATGTTTTAAAAGGTTTGGGGTGACAGCTACAACAAATGAAAAGTTAGGGAAAAGTCTACTAATATTTAAAAGGTTTGAAACTTCTGCTGCAATTATTCTTTAATTTTTATTTTCTCTTTCAGAAGTATTGTAGTATAAATATCTCGATATTAAGGTCTAACTCAAATGATAATAACGTAATCTTTCTAGATTAATCATTTGAAATCAAATTTCATTTTGAAAGATTGTGTGAAATTCTAAAAATAAATGATATCAAGTCTACTCGAAGTATTGAGTAACAGGTTCCTTTCGACTGGCCCAACCCATTTATGCACTTTTCAAAAATGAATATAGAAACAATTTAGGGGATACTTTACAAATCCGCAACAAATTATTTTTTTTTTAAAAAAAATAATACTGTTTAACTATTTTTATTATAAAATTTCTGTTTAAATTTTTTTTTAACATTTAATCCCCTGAATAGTGCTATCCTATTTCTTTTAATGTTATATATTTATTAAAATTATATTATTCTACCATAGAAAATTATGAATTATCACAACAATCAACCATATTAAAGGCCAAGTTTCTTTAGGTCAACGGCCAACTCCTTCAACCATATGCCTAAATAGCTGCAAATTAGGGGGTGGCCACTTATCTACGAGATTGATGTAATAAGGTTTGCGCGAAAACATTTACTAAAAAATTTGTAATTATTCAATTATCGAATTATTTTTATTCATATTACTAATTTAACTATAAAAGTGTTGAAGAATTATTTGCCTCATTTGTAGGTGCAGTCCTACGTTTGGGAACATTAACATGCGCATTGACAAAAATAAACTTGAATCTCAGATAACACTGCTTTGTCCTTCCCTAATCACTGACATTGCTCCGCAATCTTAGGGATATTGTTCGTATAAACTTGTATAATCTGTCACCACACGTATTTAATTCCTTTTCGTAGGATTTTCAGTTAGTTTCCATATATTTGATACACAACATTCATTACGTTCAAATGTGAATCTGTACGATACCAAGCCGGATTTGAATAGAACATGGCTTCATATGTGACCTTATCAGCATCATTGATCATCTCTGTAGTCAGGATTCTCTTTTAAGATGACAAAGCCCTCGAGTATGGGGGATAAAGGAACATATCTGCACACCTAAATTTGAATTAGTGTCCGTTCATCATATATACGTAGCAATGGACAGAACATTTCATAGGGGATATTTCTTGCCTCTCAGTTGCCAGCTCTGCTCTTTCACCAGCTGACAGAATAACAGGAGTTGGAAGGGTGCGGAAACCAGTAATGGTCTTGGGACATCCTGCTCGACCAACTACATCAACAGCTTGACCCACACGAACAGGTACTGATACAGGTTTTAGGTCTTCATCCACCGTCATCAACATCCTTGGCTGTAAACGCGGGCATTTTAATAGTAAAGAATCTAAAGATCGTGCAGAAATAAAGAACACGATGCAAGTTGAAATTTACTAAAAAAAACCCAAAGGGCATGTTTGGTAATACAGTGACAAACGAATTGACAGTGCATGAATAAGCTTTTAGCTTCTTTTTTCTTTCTTACTATCAATTACTGTCTAGTCCATTTTACTGTAAATGCCAAAAAGGAAGATTATAGCCTGTATTACGAGAAAGGACGTTAAAGAACAAACCTGTATTGCAAGAACAATGAAGTAGAGAACATAAGGGTACATCCACAAAATGGTATCTCGCAAATCAAGACATGCATGCAGCAAAATTACAAGTCCAGCCAGTGCAGTCCTGTGGGAAGGTAGGGTCAAGGAAAATTGTGGTGCTTAAAAGGTAAAAAAGATGTATGAATTATTTGCCAGCATTACTGCATTAGGGCTCTATCAAAGGAAATCTTCATTTTAATACGGACATTAGAGGACTTAAAAAACAGTCGGTACATAAAAAAACAGTTGGTACACGTTCTTGCCAAGCTAACTATGTGGGCCATATGCCAAAAACAACTATCAGATGCTCCCCAAAAATAATTTAAATAACTTTTAGCAAGTAAAACATCAAAACAAATTCTTATTGCTTAAGCAATGGCATTAGTCCCAAAGAACTATATAAGAGAAGGTCAAAAGTTATAACAAAATTATTAAGTGTGATGTGAGAAATTGAGATAATCACATCAACTTAGTTATACCGAGTCTTGAGCTATTTACTGACTCAATTTAAGACTTTATTTCTACATAAATAATTCTCTCCTGATGAGGTTCAAGACAGTTCCAACACATTTACATCCTTGCATCTGTATTAGAACGTAGTAAAACCATCAATTTCCTAACTACATTAAACTATCAGCGAATGCATTTTCCACCATCATGCCTCAATCTATAATGACAGTTTCTCTTGTAAGGACATGGAATCCTTTAAACACAAAAAGGATTCTGATAAGGCCCCAATAAAATTTACATGTACCAGACGTGCAAAAGCCAAGCAAGCACATGGTGGAGGAGGCTAACGACTGGAAAGCAGGGCAGTAGGAGTTTCTAGAGGAATGCTGAGTCGGGAAAAGAAAAATGGTCATGCTGTTTGTTAGAATTAGTTGGGGAATGGGTTATAAAAAACCTTGTAAGGGGGTAGGAAAAGGCATGAAAGAAATCCAATGAGTAGTAAGACGTGGAGATTTATAATTTCCATCGAGTCATTTGTTCCAGTTATCTTTATTAAGCAATTTTTTTTCACTCTCATCTCGGTATTCTAGGCATAAGACGCTGTTGACACGTCACAACAAAAAGTTGGTCCCAAGGCACTATAGACCGTTTGAGGTAATAGCAAGAGTAGGGAAGATAGCTTATCGTTTGTCACTACCAACTACGGCTCGTGTCCACCCTGTGTTTCATGTTTCGCAGTTGAGAAGGGTAGTGGGCAACGTATCTTCTTCCTTGCCTCCTCAACTATAGGAAGATTGGGAGTTACTTGTGGAACAGGAGATTGTCCTAGGATTCAGACAACCACATCGGGGCCCAACAAATGCGGTGGAAGTCTTGATCCAGTGGAAAGGCATGTCACCTGTGGAAGCTTCGTGGGAACCATTCGACTTGATTAACTAACAGTTTCCTTCTTTCAACCTTGTGGACAAGGTGACTACATCGGGAAGGGTATTTGATAAGCCCCCAATCAAATTTACATATACCAGACGTGCAAAAGCCAAGCAAGCACATGGTGGAGGCGACTAACGACTGGACAGCAGGGCGGTAGGAGTTTTCAGAAGAATGCCGAGGCAGGAAAAAAAAATGGTTATGCTGTTTGTCAGAGTTAGTTAGGGAATGGGTTATAAATAAACTTGTAGGGGGATAGGAAAAGGCATGAAAGAAATCCAATGAGTAGTAAGACGTGGAGATTTATAATTTCCATCGAGTCATTTGTTCCAGTTATCTTTATTAAGCAATTTTTTTTCACTCTCATCTCGGTATTCTAGGCATAAGACGCTGTTGACACGTCACAACAAAAAGTTGGTCCCAAGGCACTATAGACCGTTTGAGGTAATAGCAAGAGTAGGGAAGATAGCTTATCGTTTGTCACTACCAACTACGGCTCGTGTCCACCCTGTGTTTCATGTTTCGCAGTTGAGAAGGGTAGTGGGCAACGTATCTTCTTCCTTGCCTCCTCAACTATAGGAAGATTGGGAGTTACTTGTGGAACAGGAGATTGTCCTAGGATTCAGACAACCACATCGGGGCCCAACAAATGCGGTGGAAGTCTTGATCCAGTGGAAAGGCATGTCACCTGTGGAAGCTTCGTGGGAACCATTCGACTTGATTAACTAACAGTTTCCTTCTTTCAACCTTGTGGACAAGGTGACTACATCGGGAAGGGTATTTGATAAGCCCCCAATCAAATTTACATATACCAGACGTGCAAAAGCCAAGCAAGCACATGGTGGAGGCGAGGGGAGAGTTTCTCATTGGAACGATGTGCGAAAGATTTAAGGCGGTATGGTCGCATCTCTAAGTAGACCAATTCCCCAATATCAAAATCCACAACCCTCCTATGCTGATCAACTGAAGCCTTCATCTTTTGTTGAGCACTCTGTAGATGCATTTTTAATTCCTCTAGTAACTGGTCACGTTCCAGCAGCTGGTGGTCAAGTGAAGATACTACCGTTGACCCTTTTTAAAGTGGCTAATAGGGGATGGGTCCCGTCCATATAGGATACGGAATGGAGTTGACTGTGCAGACACGTGGTAAGAAGTGTTATAAGATAATTCAACCGAAACCAGTCTTTAGGCCTGCCTGAAGTGAAGCATCGAAGATAAGTCTCAATGCTCATGTTAAGCACCTCCGTCTGGTCATCGGTCTGTGGGTCGTAGGCTGAGCTGAGCCTCAATTTAGTACCTTGCAACCGAAAGAGTTCACTCCAAAATTTGCTAACAAACACTTTGTCACGATGCGGTATGCTATGCAACCGAACTATCTCCTTAATGACTATTGCTGCCACAAAAGGAGCTGAAAAAGGATGTTTAAGGCCCACAAAATGTCCATACTTACTTAAGCGATCCACGACGACCAAAATCGAGTCAAACCCGTCTGACTTTGGCAGTCCTTCAATAAAGTCCATGGATATATCATCCCAAACTTTCTCTGGTACTGGTAACGGTTGAAGCAGTCCTGTCGGAGTGAGGGTCGAGTACTTGTTCTACTAACACGTTGCCTAGGCCACCACATAATTTCGAATATCGTTCTTCATGCCTTTCCAATAAAACGTGGCAACAATCCTTTTGTATGTTTTAAGGAATCCCCCACAGCCACTGATTTTGCTATCATGTCATTCTTGCAATGCCAACATTACAAATGGAGAACCCTTGGGTAAGGCGAGTCGGTCACGATATAACAGAGTACCCTGAACCAACGCAAACCCCGGGTGTGACGTTAGGTCAACTTGTAGTGCTGTGTGGATCTAGCCCAATTCTGAATCCTCTTTCACCGCCTTTTCTAACTCAGCTTGTTGTAAAACAAATGGCATACTAAGTGCAATCCCTGTCGTAGCCAATTCAATTCAGGATAAGGCCTCGGCTGCCTTATTTTCCAATCTCAGCTTGTACTCGATGTTAAAGTCATACCCCCATAACTTAGTCAACCACTTCTGATATTCCGTACTTGCCATACGCTACTCAAGAAGGAATTTGAGACTCTTCTGATCAGTTCAGACTATGAAATGCATTCCAATTAGATAGTGCCTCCACTTTTAATCGGTAAATACAACTGCCATCAACTCTCTCTCTCTCTCGTAAATAGACTTGTTCGTAGCCAATTCAATTCAGGATAAGGCCTCGGCTGCCTTATTTTCCAATCTCAGCTTGTACTCGATGTTAAAGTCATACCCCCATAACTTAGTCAACCACTTCTGATATTCCGTACTTGCCATACGCTACTCAAGAAGGAATTTGAGACTCTTCTGATCAGTTCAGACTATGAAATGCATTCCAATTAGATAGTGCCTCCACTTTTAATCGGTAAATACAACTGCCATCAACTCTCTCTCTCTCTCGTAAATAGACTTGTTCCGAGCTCGAGGAAGAAGAACTTGGCTGAAGTAAGCAATAGGCCTCCGGTGTTGCATCAAATACCCCCAAGCCATGATCAGATGCATCAGTCTCAATCACGAATGGCTTGGAAAAATCTGGAAGTCCTAATATAGGAACCGAAGCCATAGCCTTTTTTAGGCTTACAAAAGCAGCTTCCGCCTCGTTCATCCAAAATTATCCTTTTTCGGTTGTTGCGTAAGTGGCCATGCTATTCTTCCATACCCCTCTATGAACCTCCGGTAGTATCCTGTTAGACCAAGGAACCCCCATAACTCCTTAAGTGATTTAGGTCGTGGCCATACTGTCATGGCCTCCACTTTAGACATATCTACAGCTACTTCTTTTCCTGAGATTATTTAGCCAAGGTACTCCAGCTCTTTTTGGCCAAACAAGCACTTTTTTTTGTTAGCAATCAGATGGTTATCCACTAACTGCTGCAATACCCATCTCAAATGCCCCCGATCTTCTTCCACCGTTCGGTTATAGACTAAAATGTCATCGAAAAAGACCAATACAAATCTCCGTAGCTGTTTCCTGAAGATGCCGTTCATTAGTGACTGGAAGGTTGCAAGTGCATTTTTCAGGCCGAACGGTATGACTAGAAATTCATAGTGACCCTCGTGAGTGCGGAATGCAGTTTTAGGGATGTCCCCTGTCTTCACCCGAATTTGATGATACCCAGATTTCAAGTCAATTTTTGAAAAAATGGTCGAACCGTGTAACTCATCTAAGAGCTCATCAATGGCGGGAATTGGAAACTTATCAGCAACTGTAGCTTTATTTACTGCCCGATAGTCCACACAAAACCTCCAACTTCCATCTTTCTTCTTAACCAAGCGCACTGGGCTCGAAAATGGGCTCGTGCTATGCTGAATAATTCCTGTAGCCAACATCTCCTGCACTAACCTTTCGATCTCATTCTTTTGAAAATGCGGGTATCCATATGGTTTCACACTAATGGGGCCTATTCCGGGGTGTAGATTGATGGCATGATCATGATCCCACTGAGGGGGCAGCTCAATGTTGTTCTCGAAAACGGCAGAAAACTCCTTCAATACCTCAATAATGATCTCCGGTGGTTCCAGTATCCCTCCTTTGTCCACAATAGTAATATTACCTAGTTCCAATAAGAGCCCTTCTCCTTGCTCTCTAAATGTTTTTAGCATGGTCTTCAGTGATACTGGTGTTCTACCAAGACTTAGGTCCCCTTGGAGAGTCACTGTAGTTCCTGTCAGGTTAATGGACATCGTCAGCGTGTTCCAGTCCACTTGCATTTTCCCTAATTTCTACAGCCATTGCATCCCTAGTATGATATCTAAATTCCCTAATTCCAGAGGTAAGAAATCCTCTACCACCGTCAGGTTCTGCAACTTCAATGGTATCTACTTGCAAATGCCTTCCCCTTTTACAGTAAGGCCGGTTTCCATAATCACCCCATAACTCGGAGTGCTCGATAGAGGAAAGCCGAGGAAAGCCAAGCTGCTGGACAATTTCTAAACTGATGAAATTATGGGATGCTCCACTATCTATAGGAACCACGACTTCCCTTTGGCCCAACTTCCCCTTCAACTTCATAGTGCCCAGTGTTGTAAGCCCCACAACAGAATTAATAGACAACTCAATAGCCTCGCTCTCTTCGCTTGCTCCCTCTTCGCCATCTCCAATCAAGTTTTGGTCGTCGCAGCCGTCAGCACCTTGCGCGTCCCCGCCATCCGAGACTGCTTCCATCTCCTTTACTACGAGCACTTGGAGCTCCTTATTCTTACACCTGTGGCCAATTGTAAATTTTTCATCGCATCGATAGCACAAACCTCTTTCATGCTTCGCCTGTACTTCGGCATCTGTAAGTCTCTTGAAGGAAGGGATATTTTTCTGAAATGGTACTGGGCTTGCTATACGGGTTGGGTTATATTGAGGGGTATAGTGGGTTTGGTTGTTGGGTTGAAACTTTGGGGTGGATTTTGGTTAGAGTAAGCACAGGATTTAGGTTTTGGTGGGCCTAGACTCCATTGGCCCACTTTAGTAACCCAATTCCTTTCTTCCACCATCTGGGCTATCTCCATCATCTGTTCCAACCCCACCAGTCTGTGTAATTGGACCTCTGCCCCTAATTCTAGCTTCAATCCGTTCATGAAACTTCCTTCCAGCACCTCCTCCGACAAGTCGTTCAATGGTGGAGCCAGCGTCTCAAACTGCCGACGATAGTTCCTTACAGTGGTCAATTGCCGAACTGCCAAAAATTGAGCACACAGCATCCCCTCCTATGACGCTCGAAATCGTCGAAGCAACCTTACCTTCAGTTCTTCCCAATTCAAAATCGACCGTCGCTTCTCATCCCATTTTACCCACACTAAAGCTTCTCCGTCCAGACATACCACAGCGGCATCCATCTTTTCTTCTTTTGTCATCCTATTAATCCCAAAGTACCTCTCCACCCTGAAGATCCACCCGTCTGGATCCATACCATCAAATACCAGCATATCCAGTCGCCTGATGCGCGACTCTCCTTTACAAGTCCCCAAGGCACCGTCTCCCTCATATTGACTTCCAGTTGGTCTCGATTGGACTAGCCTGGATTCTGCAGATGATGCTGGTTCCTTAGCCACCCTTTGTCCTTGCAATCCCTCTCTTGTTTTGTCCACTTCTGCAGTAGCATATCCATTTTTTCCATTAGGCCTGATTGCATGGATTGAAATTCTGGTTTGGCGCTCGTGATGATTACCGTCCACCTTATGTTCTAACTCATTCATCGTTCTGCCAAGGTCATGGTTGTGCTATGAAATGGGTGCTCTAATACCAAAATATGTTAGATACCAAGAGTAAACGGAGAAGAAAAACAGGAAATATGAAGGAAATTGTATTGAAATTGATTGAATGGAAAATTACAGCTCAAGAAAAACATAAGAGGCCATTCGAGAGGGCCATACTCTCCTAATATTCCTTTCCTCTCAATGATTTCTGATGCCCCTGACTCCCACCAAATACTCTATTTATAACACCCCTTGTGTAACTAACTCCAGCCTAGTCACTAATTCATAACAAATTTTGTTATTCCATCTTTCTTGGTCCTTCTAGAATAGGTATGTTGAATCGGGGGCCTATCAGTATTTCAATAAAATAGATCTTCCTCTTGAACGACAAAGTACAGTGGCTAAGTTGGCATTCGTCAGGTTTAAGGAAAAACTAAACATAAAAACAGCAATATGGAGAAGACCACATTCATTCAAAGCAAGAAATTAACTTACGGGGATAACAAAAATCTTTCAGAATGATATGGAGAGAGTGTCAACAAGCCTTTTCCAAGATGGACAAGACCTTGAGCAATCCGCACCTGCACAAGTAACGAGGCAAATTATTATGACCTACAAGCAATATTAGTCCATTTTAGATGCCCATGAAGAATATATATATTTCTGCAAAAGTATTAAAATCAAAACCTTACACAGAAAAGAAGGCTGGGAAATGTGTCGTAAAAGGTTGATAGATTCCGAAGACAGCCAGCTATTTTTGCATTGTTGGTTCCAGCACCTATTAAACCCAAAGCAATGATGGCAGTCTGCACAATTAAGAAACAAAAATAGATATCCAAGTTTTTAGATCATGCAATTATATGATTAGTAATATCAAATTGCACAATAGCCCGTCTTCGTAACACATTACCATTGCAACTTCCCTATCTCTATCTTGGCTGAGCCTTCTTAATGTGTCTATGACTTTAACCTGTTGAGATCACCCATCAAAAAAAAAAAAAGTTATAAATGCAAATAGACTTGGAAACTTCGAGCACACAATGACCTTCTCTGGAATAAATGGAATGACATTTATCTATAAAATTTTCCCAAAAATGCTTTTAAACCTCATGGACAAGTGGATCCTTATGACAGAAAGCAGAAACATGTTAGTCTGCAACTTCTAAAGAATGATGTGGTGATGTTTCAGTGGTTCTTTTGACTCTATATGTCAAGCAGTATAAATATAAATTTTCTCCATTCAGCATCATCATGGAATGAGATGGATGTTCACATCTAAAACATAGCTAATGGGGTATTTGGAGAATCTAAGGGTAGAAAGCCATCTAACAACCATGTTCACAATAGGCCCAAATGGTAGTTAAGACAAAGAGTGCAGCAATTTGGACCTTATCGATCCACCGTGTTTCTCAATAGGAGGTTCTCTACCCTTAGATTATTTTAATACCTCGTTCACTATGTTTCAAATGCTATCATCCATCTCCTTCCTTGATGATGCCAAAATTGAAAATTCTATTTATATTCTTGACCTGTTGAGCCTAAATACATAGTTCGAAAAGATATATTTAACTAGAGACATTTTGCACATATTGGGTTTGTCAAACTCCATTATAAATGTACATATTAATTATACTAGAAGAATTTTGGTTTCGGAAGTGGGAGAGGCTATGAAAAGGATGAGCATATCAAATCCAATTGACTTAGATGGAATTCATTTCGAGGTGGATATTTTTTGATTGAAAAAATTGTTTAATTAGGCTTAGAGTACAACGATGTCAGTGTAACGGAGAGAGAGTGGTATGATGACTAGTTATAAGAATGATCGAGATATTCAAGATTGTGTTGTATTAAGCTCGTACCAATGGGAGATGGTGATTGAGCATAAATTAGGGTCTACCTAAAAAGTGATTTGCTATAGAATCCATTCACCTGCTTAGGATATTGATGACAAAGTAGAAAGAGAAGAAACTAGATTCTTAAATTTTTTTCAATTATTATTTAGAAAATGCCTATGATAGAGTGTCCAGGAAAGTTCTATGAAAAGGAAATTCTATTAGAAGCATAAAATTATTATGGAGATCTATGATCGAGTGGTCATGAGTATGAAATGTAGATGTAGAAGTAGAGAATTTCCTGTATGGTTTCATCAAGGGTACTACCTGAACTTCTTTTAGCATTTCTCATGGATGAGTTTACTAGACATATACAAGATGAGGTTCCCCGGTATAAGTTATTTGATATAACATAATTCTGTTAGATGATTAGGAGGGTTTAAATTGCAAGTTAGAACTCTGGAGGATAAAATAGTCCTTTCAATACATGAAATGTCCTTATACGGAAAGTACGAACTAAGATGATAGCAATCACTATCTATGATTCTCAGACTCTCCATTTTGGAGGAAGTCCCATGTCGACACAACATGACATGGAGATCCGGCTCTAATCCTCCATATACGAGGAGGATATGGCCAGAAACATGGGAAGGAGAACGTCATGGGAGGTAGCAGGTTGATGTTGCAATGTTTGCATGGAGATAAGAAAGAGACGTTGCTGGTCGATAGTGAAATAAAACCCAATGTTGCAAATAAAAAAGTGACTTCATAGAGACCTGGCTCACAGTTTATAAAGCATTAAAAGTGACTTTTAACTGTCATTGTTTGAAAAAAAAAAAAGGAATAGTGATGCCTAATTTTTAAGCAATGAAGTTGATTGAGACACAAAACCAAGCAAACTTTTAAGTAATGAATACCAAGCCCTTTTAATGCTACACTTATCTCCAATTGAATTCAAATTTAGCCCTGACTGATGTTCATTATTTGGTAAAAATAAAGTTTTGAATGTTGAATGTTTAGAGAATGTGGTTAAAAAGTAGAGAAAAGCTTTAGATTTACGTGCAAAATATTTTATTGTGTAAATGTATAATTGAAAATGCGTGTATAAAATAAAGAGTTTTGAAATAATGATTGTCAAACGGAGACTTATAGAATCAATAAGCCAACTCAATAGTAACCTATGAAAAAATTATAATTTATATCTTCCTTAAAAATACAGTGTGTTACTGCTAAAAGAAGGATTACCTTTGGATTAGATATACAAAGAAGACCTAGGGCCAATGGAACCGCAGTTCTAATGTTGTGATTGCCATACTGCAAAAGATGCTCTAGCGAACGAATAGCCATCTCAAGGCCCAATTCCTCAGCCATTGCTACCATAGCAATACCAAGTACAGCGGGACCCTGGTACTTTTCACCGTTTTTAAGATGTTCACACGCATGAAGGAATTTTTGCACCTGAGATAGAGACTATTAGCAACTTATACAAGATAACAGCTTACCCTCTGAATGCAACTTCAAAAATTTATAACCTTGAGAGCATCCCCGGTTCCAGCATAGGCACAGGAGATCAGGGTCATGTAACAATATTTTCCAATTTTTTCATTAAATGTCTCTAAAAGCGTAGTAGCTCTAGCATTCACATTGTCCTGTCAGATGAAAAATAAATCCTAACGAAGTATGATCAGAGTACTCAATCTACATATTGCAATATTCAGTTTCAAACTGAAAACAAGTAATGTGCATTGCATGCCTAATGATAGTGACTAACATCATGCCAATAATAGTTTCTATATAATGCCCAAAGTAATACAAGGATTTGACACAGAATATGACTATTGGATTGTTAACAACCAAAGAAGCTAGTAATCATGGTAACCTGCTTCCCAAGATACAGAAGACCAAGACCAAGAGGCAAGAGACAAAAGAGGGGCTCCCCCAGATCTGATGCATTTCGTTTCTTTAAGGTTAAAGATATTGTTTCAGCAAAATATTCGCTGCAGGAACCCAAATAGACCAGGCCAAGAGAGACTGCGGAGAAGGCAATGACATCCAGAGATTCCTTAGAATCTTCAAGTATCGAGTTTAATATAATGCTTATCTGAAAAAGAAAATGTCACATGTAAGCAAAAGTAGAACATCACAAGACAAGAAAATAGAAAGTCATGGCCAAAAAGATATGAGCTACTCAACAACGTTTCAAAACGTTGACAAGTAAAGTAATTATCATCTAAAGCAATCAATACTTCCAATAGTTGGACTAATTATGGAACTCACTTCCTTATCTTGAGAACCTGCATTCGCAATGCCTAAGCCCATTATTGCACCTATTCTAATAGAAGACTCTTTATTGTGTACATAATCAGCTAAAAGATAACAATTCTTGTTGACTCTGCAATTCAGAATACCAACTCCTAGCAATGCACCCGCAATGATGTGAGTGTTGGTACTATGTATGTACTTGTCAATTTGAGCGAGTCCATAGTCAACATCCCAAAGCAAAATCATACCCTACGGTGACAAAAAAAAAAAAAAAATCATTAGAATCACATGTGGAAACGATATAATAAACAAAAAAGATTGAACATAAGAATAATTTTATGTATTTCTTGTATATATTTCAAATGTATACAACGTCTTAATTTATAAATACAAGTGGGGTAAGGGGAAAGGAAAGAAATCTCCTACATAAGGAGGGATGCAGCTTACCAAATTACAGTCTACTTAATTATGGAAAAACTAAATATGGGAAAAAGTCTAAATATGGTAAAAGAATAAATTAAAATGCAATCTATAGGGTTTCTACACTCTCCCTCAAGCTGGATGGTAAATGTTAACCATATCCAACTTGCGAATGAAGTCTTCAAAACTTTGTCAAGGTAGCCCTTTTATAAACATGTCTAAAGTTTGTTCTTTTGTAGGAACATATGTCATGCAAATAACCCCATCTTCAGCATTTTCTTTGATGAAGCATCTGTCTACTTCAATGTGTTTAGTTCGATCATGTTGAATCAGATTAAGAGAAATATTGATGGCTACTTTGTAATCACAGCAAATCTTGATTAGAAGCTTTACTGTGGCTTGTAGTTCTTCCAAAATTTTCTTTAACAATAGTCCTTCATATATTCTTTGGGCAACTACTCTATATTCCGCTTCCACTCTGCTTCTTGCCACTACATTCTATTTTTTACTTTTCCAAGTTATCAAGTTTTCCCATACGAAAGTGCAGTAACCAGTGGTTGATCTCCTATTGTCTATAGAGCTTGCCCAATCCACATCTGTGAATATTTATACTTGTTCTCACTCTTCTTGAAGAAAAACCCTCTTCCAAATGAGCTTTTGAGAAATTTGAGAATTTTGTCTATTGCTTCTATATAAGTTTCCTTTGGTGAGTGCATATGTTGACTTACCACACTTATTGCAAAAGCAATGTCTGGTCCAGTATGATATAGGTATATCAATTTTTCGACTAGTCTTTGGTATCTTTCACAAGAGAATTTCCACCCTCTTCTATTCTCCCTATATCAATAGGTGTGTCGCATGGCCAGCAACCAAGCATGCATGTTTCGGTCAGGAGATCATGGACATATTTTCTTTGTGACACGCTAATACCTTTTTTGATCTTGCTACCTCCACTCCTAAGAAGTATCTCATTTGTCCAAGTCTTTCACTTCAAATTCAGTAGCTAGACTTTTCTGGAGTCTTTCCATCTCAACTGTGTTGTCTCCCTTTAGGATTATATCATCCACGTATTTAATTAGAATGGTCTTCCCATTTTCTGATTGTTTGAAGAACATAGTGTGATATGATTGTCATTTGCAAATCTATCGAACCATGCTCTCAGAAATTGTTTAAAGCCATAAATGATTTCTTGAGTTTACATACTAAATTTTCTTCATTCCTTTTACAAAATCCTAGTGGTAAAGTCATTAAGACCTCTTCCTCTACTTCCCCATTTAGAAATGCATTTTTAATGTCAGTTGTTGAAGAGGCAAATCCAAGTTGGCTACCAGAGACAATAGGACACGAATTGTATATAATTTTGCCACTACTGCCAACGTTTCTGTGTAGTTAATGCCATAGGTTTGGGTATATCTTTTTGCAACCAGACGAGTTTTATATCGCTCAATTGATCCATCAGATTTATACTTCACATTAAAGACCCATTTGCAACCCAAGAATTTCTTCCCTCTCGGTAGATCTCTCAACTCCCATGTGCCATTTTTTTCTAAGGCCCGCATTTCCTCCATTATTGTTTCCCTCCGTTTGGGAACTTTTAAGACTTCCTGAATACTCCTTGGAATTTCTGTACTATCAAGATTAGATGTAAAAGTACGAAATCCTGAAGATAGAGCATTATAAAATATGAATTTTGAGATAGGGTGGAGAGTATATGACCGAGTTTGTTCCTGAGAGCAATAGGCAAGTCTATGTCTGGAGGTTCGAACTCATGAGACTTATGAACATCTGGAGCCATCATCGGTTCTAATTCTCTTGGTACTTCAAATGTGGGATTCTCCTTTGATTTTGGCCTCCTTGAGTAAATTAACATGTCCCTGTTATTGTTTTTCTACATCTCCCCCTGAGTTCAAGTTTGTCTCTATACATGGCATAGTAAAACAGGGTGGTATGAAATATTCAGTGATTGTGGTGGGCTCAACAGAGATATCAAAGTCTAGGAACCGATCGTCACTCAAATTCTTCCCCTGAAGAGAGGTTTTTTGAAAGTACGGTGTTTTCTCAAAGAATGTAACATCAAGACTAACAAGTGTTTTCTTGGTTACTGAATCATAACATTTAAAGCCCTTTTGAGTGGGTGCGTATTCAAGGAGGACGCACTTAATTGCACGAGAATCAGGTTTGCTCTTATGATGGGAATAAATGTGGACAAAGGCAGTACAACTAAACACTTTGAGAGATATGTTCGAGTTAAGCCAAGAATTACGAAAAAATTATAAAGTCTTTGAATAGGTGATTCAAATAAGAAAGTACGGCTAGGCATTCGATTGATAAGATAGGTTGATGATAAGATAGTATCTCCCCAAAACTTTTTTGGTAAATTTGTGGTAAACATTAAGGTACAAACAACGTCAAGAAGGTATCTGGTTTTCATTCGACAATCTCATTTTGTTGTGGGCATTACCACACGAACTTTGATTGATTATCCCAATGCATTTGTAGATAGTCTCGCAAAGTAGTATTGAAATATTTAGTACCATTATCTATTCGTACGATTTGAATTTATGTTTGGATCATTTGATGAACATACTGAATATCGAACGGATGTCAATTTTTTCTTTTATTAGGTAAACCCAACAAACAAAAGTATGATCATCTATAAACGTGACAGCCTCTTTGGTATGAGTCCGATTAGGAACCTATGAAGGGCCCCCATAGATCGAAAAGTAGTGCGTCGATTTGCAAGTTAACAAATTTTAAAGTCAATAGTTGTTTTATTCGAAAATATAGACAGAAACATGCCTTATGTATTGGAAGTTAGGATGACTCATTCTATAATGTCACAATATAATATCACTATCCCTAGAGACAAACATAGAAGTAGTAAAGCCCCTCACATTCTTTAGCACTATCAATTGTCTTCCTCTATGGTAAGTTTTGAAATATACAGTGAGATTGAGAAAATTTAGCGGAGCAATTGGACTCTTTAGTTAATTGATGACAAATAACAGATTGTAAGACAAGCTTGGGACATAAAGAACAGATTTTAGAGTTATAAACTCAAAGATACGAATACTTCCTTTTCCTGCAACTGATAAGAGAGATCCATCTACAATCTTAACTTTGATATTGCCGGCACGAGATGAGTACAAGGAAAATAGGTGATAAGAATATGTTATGTAATCGGAAGCACCTGAATCAATAATCCAATGAGTTTTATATTTTGAGGAGATATTTAAGGCTTTCAAAAACTACCTTATGGGCTAATGAGCTGGAAGGACTATGTAAGATGGCTTGGAGTTCGAAGGCTTGAAAAAATATGATAGAGTTGTTCTAATTGCTCACTGTTGAATGCTCCACTTTTTATTTCTTTGGAGTTCCTTATTTGATTGGATGAAACTTGGTAGCCACGATTTTTAACATTTTGTCTCGATTTCCAATCTATGGGCTTCTCATGTATGTCCCAACAAATATCTTCTTTGTGTCCCGATTTATGATAGTGTTCACACCAAGGTCATCCCTTTCATTATTTTTTGCCCGACTCATGTGTTGCTCCTTTTGATGAATATGTAAATCCAGGTCCAAATTTAGAAGACCCAACAACTCCAAAATTGCCCAATCCAGCATTAGGCCCAAAATTATTAAATTTCGACCCAATAGCACATGACCCAATTTCCTGCCATGGAAGATGATTTCCAAATCCAATCGACAGGAGTGCCGTCTACATCACCGGCCATCACCATCTTCATCATCACTTTCCAGCAATTTTCCTCTCACCTTACCTCGGTGAACACATGGGGTTAGAGGACAGTAGATGGCAACCTAAAATTCTCTCCCTCACATCGTCAAGTTCCCAATTGAGACCTGCGAGGAACTCATACACGCGTTCGTTTTCAAGCTTTTTCTTGCACTTGACACTATCTCTTGGGCATTCCCACTCTTCTTCGCCACTGAGATCGAGCTCCTGCCAAAGAGAGGTCATTTCCAAATAATAATCGGTAATGTCCCTTCCCTCTGTTTAGTTTCCTACAGCCATGTTTTAATTTCAAAGATTTGGAAAAAAAATTTGAGTCTAAGTACATTTCCTTGATAGCTTCCCATACATCTATAAGAGTAGGCAGGAAGAGGTACCTTTTTCCTATTGACAGCTTCATCGAATTCACCGGCCACTCCATGACCATTGAGCTCTCGAAATTCAATTTTTGCATAAAAGCGGCTTTTGTTGGCTTCTTAGTTTCTCCGATCAGGTAATCGAGCTTTCCTTTACTGTCAATAACCAATTTAATAGATTGGGCCCATTCCCTGAAATTTCTTCCATTCAACTTTTCCACTATGAGTTGAAATGAAGCATTCTCTCCTCTAGTCGAGCCAATTGCAAAATTGATTTCTACTTCACTATGGAGGACTCAGAAGACATTGAGCTTTTATTGTTGATGGGGACTTTCATCGTTATGTCCAAAGCTCTAATACCATGACTACAAGAATAATTTTCTGTATTTCATGTATATATTTCGAAATGAAAGAAATCTCCTACTTAAGGAGGCATGGAAATTACCAAATTACAGTCTACTTAATTATTGGAAAAAAAAATTAAGCGCTCGTTTGGCTCCCATTATTTGAAATTTCAATGGTTGAAATAGTGTTTTATTAAAGAATGTGTGGTTAAAAATAAAAAAAAAGTTTTGGGATTATATGTAATATTATTTTATTGGATAATGTGTGATTGATAAGAAGAAAGAGAAAAATGAACTATAATTTTAATAGAGGCCAAACATGGACTAAATGTGGGGAAGTCTAAATATGGTACAAGAATCAACTAAAATGCAATCTGTAGAATTTCTACAAAGGTACACACCAGACTTGCTGTAGCACTAGCCTGTCCATGTTCCTTGTTTTCTAAAACCCAGCTTGTAGTAGAACCAACACTTGATGCTTCCAGTGGACCAATCATCAGCTTATCCTGCACACATATAAGAGTGTAGAGACTGGCCAACCCTTTCTATCTCTTTGAAGACAAACCCTAACCATTTTGATAGAAATTGTTCTTACTTGACCAAAGCCAGCATTTACAAATGCATTGACAAATGTTACTGCCAAGTTCTCTCTGCCAGAATCAACAATTTTCCTATCTCCAGCTCGCGCATCAAGTAAATGGGACTAAGAGATCCAACAAAATAGTAGAAACGTAAAACTTCTCCCTTTTTATGATGAAGGATGGATGGAAAGAAAAACTTAAAATTGCATAGCTGTTGATGCCAAACCCAAAAAGGTGGTATATAAAAGGAATAGAGCATGATGCATTTAAATACAGAAGCCAAGGACACAAGAACTCTGAGAGTGACAATAAAGAAATTTATTGGAAAAGAAAGGGATAGACGCAAAAGGCCGTAACTTAAGAAGTTAGCACAAAATGAGCAGTGGACAAGAGGAATCTAGACCTTGTAAATATCTTCAGGAGATTTGGGCTCCATGACCTCTATATCGCGAGCAAGTGTAAGAAAACCTTCACGCAATTTAGCATTGTTAATAATTTGTTGCAGACTCTCCATTTCTTCATCTTCTTCGCACATTTCATCATCAAGTTCAAAAGTAACACCCTGTAGTACAAAATTGCATTCATCAAATTAAAATTTAACCACAAAAAATGTGTGGATTAATTCTTCCAGCATTGCAACCAGTGGCTCAATCCATATCCACAACACTAGACTGAAGCACTAGAACAAGCCCATTGATAAAAGTCATTATGTCCGACTCTAATTGTAATTTAAAATCACAACGGTAAAAACAAGGGAATTTAACACTCCAAACTTGTAAAATAACTGGAAACAATAGTTAAAAGAAACAATTATGACCTTGTTCACAACCTGTGTGCTCCAATTATGATGCAATGAGATACAACGGGCTACAAGTACCCACACTACCTTATTTCAGTTTTTTTAATGATGGGCCTCTGGATGGGATTTGATCCGAAATTTAATGAAAAACAAACATCTTTAGCATAGACCAAGTGGAGATTTGAGATCTCACATGAGCTGTTATAATAAGCCCTCATATGCCACCATCAATTGACCAATCAACATGTCAGCTCTAATTCAGAGGGTAACCTCCAATTGATGACACAATATCTGCTTATTAATAAAAAATGGCAGTGCATCTGACAGAAACCAGATTTCTACAGATCTTACATGGCGAGCAAGGATGTAGCAGAACTGTTGCTTCTTCAGCAGATCATTGCAAGATGTAAAAACCTCCTTTACATACTGCAAACCAATACACCTATCAGGTCCGCATCCTAATCAAAGGTAAAAGGAAACAATGCTTTTTTCTCTATAAAATTTAGACAGGTGTGTAATAATTGATATTGAGGGTATAATCCACATTGATAAAGTATAAATATAACCAACATATAAAGACTTAGGTTACTCCTCTTAACAACGTTCGCATGTCAAAATGGAACCACCATGTCTCAATATGGTATCAGAGGCCCACAAGCTCACATGAGCAATTAAGTCCCTTTAAAGATGGAACCCAAGTCTTAATACTTGGAGTCAATAATTTTTGTATCTAACTTGAGATCATGGAAGTATGCATTTCATAACCAACAAACCTGCATCTCATCAAGGTACAAAGCAATCTGCAGTGCTCTATGAAAATCTTCAAAATTCATATAAATTCTATATGCAAAATCCAGAATGAGACTGGTCTCTTGATGATATCTGAAAAGATTGACCGATGAAAATTGGATAACATCACCATTCATTTGTATACTTAAATTTAAATATAGGAGAAGATGAAAATGACATAATCAAGACTGAGAAATAACTGTATAACATCACCATTCATTTGTATACTTAAATTTAAGTATAGGAGAAGATGAAAACGACATAATCAAGACTGAGAAATAACTATTTAATGAGAAGGATAAAAAAATCATACCTCAACATCTTTTTTTTTTCTGGAAAAGATAAAAGATTGTATATTTATCTAAACATTTCCATTTTGTACCTCTAAAATGTAGTGAATGACGGCCCCTATATTTCCTTCTAGCGAATGGTAAACAGAGACATGTGGAACTTGTATTTGGATTCAAACTTTAAGTCTAACATTGTTGGAGTATGGGTTGCTAATGAAAAAAAAAAATCAAATGATTAAAATGGATCTCGAAAAGAGATGACAACTCAGTTTGAGATAATTTGAGACAACCATGGAGAAGCATTCGAAAAATCAACCCCCAAAACTAAGAAATTATAGTTTCTTCTTCAAAAAAGGAAAAAGATTATCAAAGTTATGATGTTAGAAAATTTTCTTTATTTTCCAAAAATAACACCTTAGCAAAAAACAAATCAAATTTTAAGATGCTTTATATACAGTCCTCATTATGGATTGTGATTAATTGATATCTTCAATAAAAGGGTAAAGGTGTGCAGAAAGATGTCCTCCAGTTTTATGAATTACACCCATCTAATCGTTGGAAGTACATCAAATTTTGATGTAATGAAGATGCAGCAGATCTATTGATAATCTGTCCTCAGTTTTTGATATTGCACATAAGATGGTTAACCCATTGGTTAGTAAGCACCATTTCTTCGTATTCACCCTTCTTATAGGATGATCTATTTGTCTACCATGTTATTAGCAATCTTACAATGTCTAACAACCACCACCTCCCGAAAAGTTAAAAAAGAAACAAGCATTACATATACCCCAGGACAAAAACAGAAACCTGTCACTCCCTTAGAAAATTTATTTCTTCAAAACTACTTCTATATGGGTCTGTTTGGAAAATATTAGATTATTCTAAGGACAAGGTTGATTGGTTAATTGATCTACCTATAATCTAAAGAAATACTGGAAACAAGGCTTATTCAGGTGACTTGGTTTCACAGGGTGCCTTTCTTATTGGCACAAAAAGGGACACTGTGCGACAGTTGTCTGCTCCGCTAGACTACTTTCCGCATTTTCTCGGTCGCGTCGAGACGAAAGAAAATTTGATTACAATTTTGTAGAAAGCTTACAATAGAGAATTTGAATACAATGAAAGTAAATTGAATATTGATTGATGAAAACTAAACATTACATTTGACAAAAGCAGAAAATTACAATTGTTGGTGCAAGGGACGGACACCAGTGAGTTTGAAAATTTTTTTAATGACTAATACCCCCTATAATAGCATTCGGAACAAAAACTTAAGTGATATGAGTAGACGTTTAAAAGACGAGGAATCATACTAAATATTTACTAATATCAGGACTATTTTACAACTGAAATAACTATTACAATAAAAAGAAAATTACAACTCAGATTTGAAATAATATTTACAATGTGCGGTCAAAGTTGGGTAAACTGCGGCTGCGATAGTGTCAAGAGGCTAAGTAAAATTGCGGTCCTTGACACTTGGTCTAGTTTTGGATGTTCTCAAATGAAAGCTATAAGCCACCTATTCCACTTCTGAAAAGTGGAAAGATAATTGCTAAGCACTGGAAATTTCATTAACAAGTTGTAACCAGTGATCTTACTATTAGCATGCTGCTCTAACCACCCTAGTAAAGAAAATTTTTCTATAAAAGACGATATAAGGAAAGTTATTTTTGATAATGGTTATCCTCACCAGAATCTACTATATACCCTGACAAGAACAATGATATTCTTAATCAAACACTTAAATTTCATCCGCAACTTCTATAGCATTTGAAACTCCCAATTTTGGTGCCACCATAATATTACAGCTCTGAAGAGTACAAAAAGGACTGATGGAACACACATATGAATACTATGTAAGAAAATGTTGTTGTGCGTGGGATGCATTATTGGAGCCTTGGAGGACGGTGGTGGATTCATATAATGAAAAAATTCTTTATCTCAAGTTGATGTGTCATTGCGAAGCATGCGATTGTGGGGGGATATTTAGTAAGAACTTCTCTTTACAAGGCAATACATTCTGTTGAATATTCCAGAATAATGAAGTTGATTTGGTGGTTATTTGTTACCATATGACATGGGTCCTTTATGGTTATTATATATTGTATTTCCTTATTTGTAGACTTAAAATATAGTAGATAATTTAGCCCTATAAAGGGGTACTGTACTTTTGGTTAAACGTGAACAACATAGCCTTTACCTCTAAAAATTTGTGGCCTCTTCATTCTGTTATTCTTCCCAGCAATATGGTATTAGAGCTTTGGGTTATTTGAGCAACAGAATGAACGAAACAGCCATGACTGGTGCACACAGGGATGAGAATTCGAGGACCTCCACAGGGACCTCTGAAACTATCTCTACAAGTGCACCCACTGCAAATAATCCTCTTTCCCTTACTGCTCTCTGAAAATACTTCTCTTCAACTTACCACCACCCGGCTGAATAGCAGAAACTTTCTCCTATGGTCTCGAGCTGCTCTTATGGTTATCCGTGGTTGTGGTCGCTTGGGATATGTGACTGGAATAGCAATAAAACCAGATGAAAGTGATCCAGCCTTTGCTACCTGGGACGCACAGAACTCCATGGTAATGACTTGGATTGTTAGTTCGATGGAATAAGAGATTAAATAATCCTATCTATATTACTCTACGGCGAAGGAAGTGTGGGATGCATTGATCGTTGCATACTCTGATTTGGAAATCTCTGCCGAATTGTTTGAACTTCGAAACAAAGCACGGAATTTACGCCAAGGAAATCTTGAAGTCACAAACTACTACAACTCTGTAGAAGCTATGGCAAGAGATTGATATGTTCGTTCAGATCGGCTAGGACACTCCAAAAGATGCTGAAAAATATAGGAAACAGGTGGAGAAGGAGAGAATATACGACTTCTTAGCTGGGTTAGTTCCTGAACTAGATGAAGTTAAAGGCAGACTTCTGGGCATCAAACCAACCCCAGCAATTGATGAAATTTTTGCTGAGGTGTGTTGTGAGGCCAACCGAAAAAGGGTAATGCTTGGAGACACCAAGCAAATTTCAGTGGAAAATTCAGCCCTGCCAACTTGAAGCCATGACTCGAATCGCGACACCAGAAGGAATAATTCCTGGTGTGAACACTGCAAAAGGAGCAACCATTCCATAGATCAACGTTGGGCCTTGAATGGGCGACCATCGAATCGAAGGCCAGTGATATGTAATGATGGTCGATCGAGTCAAACCCACCGTGAAGAGAACCCGACATGCAGTTCCTCCAATTTTCAAAGAACCGTAGAACCGCCGACGGCCACTACCCAGTCCGACAGCATCTCTCTCTCTCTCTTACGAAAGCCCAGCTAGAGCAGTTTTACAAGCTTATTACCTCTGCAGCTCCATCCTCTGGTTTATTGGCTGAGAAAGGTAATTACATATCTGCGTTGATGAGCTAGAGTCCGGTCCAACTTTCGATTATTGACTCGGGAGCCACGGACCACATGACGGGTTGTATTTTATTCATACTCACCGTGTTCGGGAAATTATAAAGTGAAAATAGCAGGCGAGTCGCTCTCACCAGTTGCGGGAATTGGAACTATTAAACTTAGTCCAGATGTTGAATTACATTCTGTTTTATATGTTCCAAACCTTTATTGCAATCTCATTTCGATTAGCAAATTGCATTGCAATGTAAATTTTACTGAGTCATTACATATTTTTCAAGACCTGACTTCGAAGAAGATGATTGACAATGCTAAAGAACGTGAGGGACTATACTATTTTTTGGAGGATGCGTACTGGAATAAACAAGTTTAAAATGCAAGTTGTGAATCTACCTCAAGAGAACAAGAAATAATGTTGTGACATCGTCGTCTAGGTCACCCTAGTTTTTTATATCTGAAACATTTATTTCCATTATTGTTTCGTAATAAAGGTATATTCCAATATGATATTTGTCAATTGGCCAAACATTCGCGTTCTTCATTCCCATCTCATGAATATAAATCTTTATTGCCATTTGCTTTAATACAAAGTGATTTATGGGGTCCGTCTAGGATTAAGAATATTACAGGCAAACGTTGGTCATAACTTTTACATATGATCGGGTATGTTGGGTTTACTGGTTACAAGATAAGTCTGAAACTGCACAAACCTTTATAAATTTTACTCTCTACTTAAAACGCAATTTGATGCAAAAGTAAAAATACTTCGAACTGATAATGGAGGGAGTACTTTAATCAAGTTTTGGGAAATTTCCTCAATAACAAAGGCATTTTACATCAGAGTTCTTATGTTATTACTCCCCAGCAAAATGGTATTGCCGAAAGGAAATATCACTACCTCCTAGAAACTGCTAGAGCCCTCATGTTCATTAGTCAGGTTCCAAAAAAAATTTTGGGGGATGCGGTTCTTACCGCTTTCTATCTTATGAACAGAATGCCCACTAGGATACATAACTTCAGGTCTCCATTAACAAATCTATCAAATGCATACCCACAACTCTGATCTATCTTTTCTATATTAGCGTGTATTATTAGAAATTATTTACTTACTGCAATTTAGGTAGTTTCCTTGTACATAATAGGTAGTTTCCATGTATACTTTGTATCCTAAAATAACTTGTAACTTCTATAAAGAAAAATCAAGACAGGCGAGAAATTCATTCAACAAAAATATTGTCATGGTATCAGAGCCCTTACTTCCTCGTACGTCTAATTCTCGGTGATTGGCTCTCAGTTCGTAGTAATTGATGGGTACTTCTCAGGGATCGTCTCCATTCTTCGAACTTCCTTCATGAACAGCCCTATGCCCCGGTCTTCGTCCTCG